AACAGCAAACACTCTGATCGTCTCAGAGAACTTATCTTCAAGGTGAGGATACCTGAAAAAGACCTGAAATGCTCTTGTGTATATTGGCTTCTCACAGCTCTTCTGTGCTCTCAGCTTTTTGAGCGCATGTTGCGCTGTGACCGTGTCTATGAGAAGCACAAGCAACGTCTGAGGCTGAGGGAAGCAGGATACGCTGGTCTGTCGCTCCTTTTCTCTGAGCTTCAGATCACACCAACACTGGTCCGATGTCTTCTCAACCAGGTCCTTCACACAGGTCAGTGGTTTATTTCTGATCCTTTATGTAGTGAATATGTGCTGAAGGAAATAAAATGGACAGACTGCAGTTATTGGTATTTAGTTTGTCAGCATCTTCCGCTCCCTCACTTAAGTAGATGCAGTGAACACTGTATATCTGTATATTCTAGGCTACATCGATGTTTTTTATGAGTTATTTCAATGTATTTTTGTCAAAAACCTACAGATAACGTGGTGAATTACAAAGACCTCATGTCTTTGGTGCAGCTCACACACCGAGCTGGTCCTGCTGTACGAATTATCGTCTGCAAAAGGGTAAGAAGTCAGCAATAAATGTTTTATTTTCTCGTAGCCTATTTGCTGGTCACCAACAGAGAGTCGACAGATCTTATATCAAAACCCACCACATTCAGGTTCTGTTGAAAATGGCAGTAGAATCACACTTGATGTTTTCCTCTGTGTACAGGTTTACCAGCTGCTTCAGTCACAGCAGGACGCTGCTGTCCAGATCTCGAAGCAGCAGTGTTGGCAAGACACACTGATGAGACTATACCTGAGAGGTGAGGGGTCACCTCCACTGAGAAGCTCTGACACCATCAGCAACTGCAGTATTGACCTAAACCGACCATCTGCCAACAACCGTCTAGAGCTGCCCTTGGAGAGACGGACAAGGATGGGCAGCTCTGGCCGTCTAGATCGTCTAGAGGACGACCGCATTAGTGTGGGTGACACTCGGTCAGTTGACAGCCTGGACAACGGAGATATCATCTCTCTGCTGGACACACCGTCATCTTCTGCTTCTGTGGAGCCATCAAACTGCACTAAACCTTGGGTGGTGGGTAAGTCCGGTGGTCTGACACTGGACTTATCCCACCTGCAAGGGTACGAGGGCGCTGACAGTGGCAGTCAGACACCCGGGAGCATGCCCAGCACGCCGTCACCAGTGGACGCACCAAAAGCATTTCCTGGCATGTCTGGAGATAAGGACACAGCAGCTGAAGACGGATTCATCTTCAGCGACAACATCTCACTGGGGGAGTCCTTTAACAGTGCAGAGGTAAAAAACATTAAAACCAGCCCCATAGAAAAATCATGAAAAACAATCATGACTTGAATCCAAAAGAAAGCAAATAGTTAGCTGAAGTTTAGGTAAATGTCACCCACAAAACTTTTTAGATGTGTCAGAAAACAGATAGGAATAAGTCATTTAAAAAAATAAAATGAGCTAGAATGAACTAAACCCTGAAAAAAAAACACTTTTTATGCATCCCATGTTTTACTGACCCCTAGCGGACTGAGGAGGAGCTATGCAGCATGCTGCTGGAGATCCTGCTGTGTGTGATGTGGCGAGGTGTGGAGGGGTCTGATGATACAGCATGGCTGGAGCGGGGCCAGGTTTTTTCAGCACTCACCAAACTGGGCACTGCCAATGAGCTGCTGATCCCCATGGACCAGATCAAACTCAGGTGCGCCCTCTACATTCTAAATGACCTTCATTAACCGGCCTGTTAGCATCATCCCAAATGATTTTCTCTTCCAGCCTAATGGAGCGTATGCTGGAGAGTGCTGTAAGCGACAACCGTGAGGCATCTGCTGCCACACTGCCTCAACACACAGAGAACGCTGTGAGGCTTCTGCACATGGTGCAGGACTTCCTCCAAGCAGAGGGCTTGGTCAGTCCAGCACTATGGACAGAGAAGGTTCTGGAAGAGACGGTAACGCTGATGGACAGTCTGATGGTGTGGTACTCTGCAGGGACCCAATGGTTCCAGCTTTCGCAGGTGGGACTTAGGCTGCTGCTGGGCTTCATGGCTCAAGAGGACACACAGGTAAATTGATTTTCTCTTTTTTTTGTCATTTCTTTTACTAAAAGATCAGCAATAGTAATGAAGTTGCATTGTAAATATATGTGGTTAAGCAAAGGTGTAATTAAAAAACTAAAGCCTTAAAGTTAGATCAAATAGAAATTGTTAAAAGAAATAGATAAACAAAATTTAGCTTAAAGACAAACCAAAGGTTAATGGAGATAAAAAGCAAAGAATATGCATAAATATAGTTCCAAATAACAATATTTAATCTCAAAGCTCTCTATTTCCTGACTTATTCAGTTTTATGATCTTCATTCATTAGGTTTGTGCCATGGCCACTGCCAAACTGAACGGCATCCTTCAGACGAAGGAGGTGTCAAGTCAGGACGAGGCTTGTTACCTGCTGGGAAAAGTAGAAGGAATTCTGCGACGCTCCATCCAGGATCAAACAGAGGACACCTACTCCTTCTTGGTTCCTCTGATGAGAACACTTCTCTCCAAAGTTCACCGCCTCCTCTACATGGAGCTGCACCTCCCACAGCTACCTGACACCAATGGCAGCCCCTCCTTTTTTGAGGACTTCCGGCAGTACTGCGAGTCTCCAGAGTGGCGTGTTTACCTCGACAAATATGTATGAGATCCATATTCTCAATTATTTCTGAAGTGAAACATTAGAGTCAGAACCTGTGGTTTAACAATAATTGTTGTATTGTGGGCTAGACGACAGTATATGAGGTTTAAAATGTAAATCTTAATTATTCACAGATAATACCATACATGAAGCAGTATGAGATAGAAACCTTCAGTCAGGGCCATGAAACCATGGCTCTCTACTGGAAGGAATGTTATGAAGCCTTCATGGTCAGTCTGCATAAGAGGGAGAGGGAGAGAGGAGAGAGTAAAATACGCTTCCAGGTAAGATTATTCTTTGTTTTCACATAAACTGCAGTTTAAAATGATTTTATTCATATTTAATTATTAATTTCTTCTCTTTTCTTATATCACATTGTTTTCTTCTTTCAGGAGCAGTTTGTGGAGCCCTTCTCACGTCGCAGCCGTCAGGAGAACCTTCGCTACAACAGCATGCTGAAGCAGCATCACAGCCTGAACAGCGCCATCCTCAGGCAGTGGAAGGCCGCAAGGCGGGGCTTGGTGTGTGAGAGAGGACCATGGTCTGAGAGGTGAGCTATAAAGAAAGATAAAATAAAACAAAACAAATATGATATGAACCGCTGTTGTTTTGGGGTTTCTTTAATACATGTTTGATATGTTTGGTTCAAACAGGCAGCAGGATGAGATGCACTGGAGAGTTTCCAGTGCTGAAAACTTCTCCAGGATGAGGTTAAAGCTGGTCCGTAACTATAACTTTGACCCTCACAGAGAAGCCAGTGCCCTCAGAGACAACCTGGGTTAGAACATGTTCAAGTCTTCTCTCTTTGATTTTGACTATTTTTATATGTATAAATGTCAGAATGTCAATCTTCTATTCTACTGTTTTTTGGTAAATTTTTTTCACAAAATTTTTTATCAGATTTCGAGCAGTGTTTGCACTAATGTATTTTTGCTGTAATAATAAACTGGCTTTTATTTTGTCTCTAATCTCTGTTTGTCTCTCCTGATTTGACTCAGGAGTCCAACAGCAACGTGTCCACTCTGAGTCTCTGCTGCTGGAGGCAGTGAAGCAGGTAAAAGTGAGTGACCTGGAGGATGACATTCTGGAACTGCCAGAGGATGAAGCAGCGGCGGCCAACTCTCAGTCAGTCTCTAACATGTCCTTGCTGAAAATGTAACCTGTGAGATGTTTTTCTCTCTAAAGGCTTCATTTACCGCTGATTATCCTGCAGAACTGAAGCAGAAGATGCTGGTCAGAAGGAGAAGCTGGTTCTCTGGGAGGACTGTGAGCTGGTGACAGTGGTGGACGTGGTGCCTGGACGTCTAGAACTCACCACGCAGCACATCTATTTCTATGACAGCAGCCAAGAGAAGGAAGAAGGTGAGGAGACATGTTCAGGTAAAAAAAACAACAACAAAAAACTGTTTTAAGGTTCTATTAGGGACCTGGTTCAGCTGCTCCCTCCTTGCTGTTATTAGCGGCAACAGTTTTAATTAAATGTTTTTATTATAAAAAAAAAATATCTTCCAACTTAATTGATGCTTTTTCTACATTGCACAAAATATTTTGATTTACTGCTGAATCAACCATTAACACTTGTATTTTTGTCCGCAGGTGTGGGCCACGACTTTAAATGGCCCCTGTCTCAGATCAGAGAGGTTCACCTGCGTCGATACAACCTCAGGCGCTCTGCTCTGGAGATTTTTCTTATTGACCAAACAAATTATTTTCTCAACTTCAAGAAAGAGGTCAAAAACAAACATGCAAACATGAAACTACAAATATTTGTCAGAAAAACTCAGTCACTCAAAAAGTCACAAATTGTTCTTCTGGTTTTTCTTTCAAAAGGCAAGGAACAAGGTGTACAGCCGCATGTTGCTGCTGCGATCCCTCAGTCTGTATGGGACGCGATCACCACAGGAGCTTCTCAAAGCCTCGGGTCTTACTCAGGTGAGACAAAACTGATCTTTCCTGAGTCCAAGCTTTAGTGTTGATACATTTTTTGTATTTGGTTTCTGATAGTAAATATGGAAAAATTGAGTCAAAAGTAGTATTGAACTAGCTAAGAAGAAGAAACATGGATATAAGTCTGTATTTTGTGTCTCACAGAAATGGGTCAACAGGGAAATTACCAACTTTGATTACTTGATGCAGCTGAACACAATCGCAGGCAGAACATACAACGACCTCTCTCAGTACCCTGTGGTATGTCACCATGGAAAACATTGCTAGTATAAGTATTTAGTTAAGTTACATTTTTAACTGTATTTGTTATTATATCTACAGTTTCCCTGGATATTATCTGACTACACGTCCGAGGAGCTAGACCTGTCTGATCCCCGAATTTTTAGGGACTTGTCAAAGCCAGTGGCTGTTCTCAATGAACGGAACGCCAAGGCTGTCAGAGAAAAGTAGGTTGAGATACAATTTGTGTAATTAACCAAACAGTTAGTTGTCAGCTGCAGTTAAACCTTCATTATTTTTTATTAGGTATGAAAGCTTTGAGGATCCCACAGGAACCATTGACCGGTTCCACTACGGAACACACTATTCCAACGCTGCAGGAGTGATGCACTACCTAGTCAGAATGGAGCCGTTCACCTCCATGCACATTCAGCTGCAGAGTGGACGGTGAGGAACCACAGAGCCATCCTCAGTCACAGAACTATTACTTGAATAAAATTATATATTTCTTTTAAATTTTTATAAAGGAATAAGGTAATGTAACATCTGATGTTACACTGCCCCCATGTGGAACATTGATAGGTTAAACAGGCCTCAGATCTACAACAGTTTCATTTGCTGTAATGGCAAGGTTTTGAAGCAGAGGGATCAATAGGCCATTAGATGAAATAACAGTTACATACATTTTAATTCGTACTGTTCTCCCTGTGTCTAGGTTTGACTGTGCTGATCGTCAATTCCACTCCATACCAGGGACATGGCAGACACTCATGGACAATCCCAATGATGTCAAGGAGCTCATACCAGAGTTCTTCTATTTTCCAGAATTTCTTGAAAACCAAAACGGTGACCGTTGTCTTAAAGGCTTATTGTAATAAAAACATATTTTTAAAAAGCATAATTAAAATAACCCTGCTTTTATTTTTGGGTGTCGTATTCCAGGTTTCGATCTTGGTCGTCTGCAAATCTCCAAAGAACGTGTGGAAGACGTGGTCCTGCCTAGATGGGCCAAATCTCCTGAGGACTTCATCTACAAGCACCGAAAAGCCCTGGTGAGTCTCATGGGGAAAAAAAACGAAAGTCACCTTGGCTGGGAGAATGATTGCCTTGATTATAACATTAGTTTTTCTTTCCACACAGGAATCAGAGTACGTGTCTGCACACCTTCATGAGTGGATCGACCTGATCTTTGGATACAAGCAGCGAGGTCCTGCAGCCGTGGAGGCTCTCAATGTCTTCTACTACTGCACATATGAGGGTAAAACCTTTGGATATTCCTCATTTCAGCAGGTTTCACACTCAATACAGGGATTCCAGTTTCTAATTCAACAGCAGTATGACAACATGAACATGTCATTACAGGAGCGGTAGACCTCGATTCCATCACTGATGAGAAGGAACGTAAAGCTCTGGAAGGAATGATCAGCAACTTTGGACAAACTCCCTGTCAGCTACTCAAGGTGTGAACACAAACTAGTGTTTGGCTATGGTTTAAGGCAGGTCTTCAGCCTTTCCTTTTTCAAATATTTTAGGGCTAATGTAGAGAATCAGAAGCTCAACCTCAACAACAATACATGGCACAACGTTGATACACGTGGTCTCATACATGCAGCCTGTCTCAGGTTGAACCACAGCCAGAGGACATATCCTCTGTGTTTTTCTGAAGTGTAATGTTCAAATAAATGAGTCAGGAAGAAAAGCTCCTTAAAATAATAGGTACATGCATTTAAGACAAAAGAGGTTGTAATAATTACACTGCTCTGACACTGAGAGGTTTTGTCCCCCTTTTTCAGGAGCCTCATCCGGTGCGTCTGTCCCAGGAGGAAGTGGAGAAGCGGAGGTCTCAGCTGGACTCTTGTCCTCTCAATGTATTTGAACACCTCACCAACCTCAAGTCCTTCTTTGTTGAGGTATTTTTTTACTAGTCTTTCCACTAGACCTCTGTTGTCAACTAACAAAAATTCCTAGATCACAATTTTGACTCTATCACTTTCCACAAAACAATACTTTGCAGTTGTTGATCATCTATCTCCTCCATCAGTGCATCTAAACACTGTATGTTATAAATTTATGTATTTTTATGTTATAAATATAAGAGCTGCATATACAGACAAATAACCATTCACACTGATATTTCTGCTCAGTTTAGAGTCAACCGTTAACCAAGTTCTAACCTGCAAAAGAAAATGCTCATGTGGGAAACACGTGCAACTCCACACTGAAATATTATCAGTTACCACTGGGGTTCAAATGATTGAATTCAAATTATCTTACAACAAAGCAACAGCACCAACCAATCTTCCACTAAATGGCAATGGCTGGTTTCATTTATTGAACTGTTGCAGTAGTTACTGTCCACAATTAAGCATTGTGACCCTTATCCTTTACTATCCCTCTGTCTTAACCATGGTCTGTTTGATGTTTACAGCAGGGGAGCACAGAGTACAGTCAATAATGTGGACTGTCTTATTGCATCAAGTGAACAGTAACTGTAAAACCTAAACATCCTCTTTTTGCAGGGCATCAGTGACAACGTGCCACTGGTCAAAGCTGTGGTGCCAAAGAATCAGTCACATTCCTTCATCACTCAGGGGAGTCCTGACACCATGGTGAGAACATTTACAGTTAACATTCATTTTGCAGATGATTTTTAAATTGTGTAATGGGTGTAAATGAGTTAAGAATTTTCTTCCCCAGGTGACCGTGAGCCAGAACTGCCTAGTTGGGACCCATGGGTGGCTGCCTTACAACAAGAACATTTCCAATTACTTCACTTTTATCAAAGACCCCACTGTGGCCAACGCCAAGTAAGAAGAATAATTTTAAATAAAATGATTAAATAGAACATAGAACAAACATCTAAGCTGTTTTTCTGCCTTACCCGAGAACATTATAAATCAAAATGGCCTTAATACAAGACGGTTTCTTTATTTCTCCCTTTCTTCATCTGTTAGAACCCAGCGTTTTCTGTCTGGACCCATTGCTCCAGGGGTGGAGGTGAGCACAGGCCTGTTTGTGGTCTCTCATGACGGAAAGCTGCTATTTAGTGGAGGACACTGGGACAACAGTCTGAGGGTCACTTCTCTGGTCAAAGGGAGGACTGTGGGACAGCACATTAGACACATGGGTAAAGAGCAGCAGACATTGGGAAGGTCAGTTGACCAGTGTCCTTCTCCGGGTTTGTAACTTTTCTCATGTTTTCCGCAGACATCATCACCTGTTTATCTATGGACCACTGTGGCATCCACCTGATCTCCGGCTCCAGAGACACCACCTGTATGGTGTGGCAGGTCATACAGCAGGTTAGGACAACGCTAACTTCTGTGTCCACACTGATATCTTCAAATAACAAAGAAAAACATCTGAGTTGAAAACCATGTAACTTGGTATTTTAGACCAGGTCTATGTAACATGTGAATCCTTTGCCTTTTTGCTTTGGCTCTGTGTGATATTCGTGTAATATTTTAGGTAGTTTTAATTTTTAATGATGAAATGCTTTAATTTGGATACATAAATGACATTTTCAAAATGAAAATCCTAATTTTCAGTTTATTTTGTACTATTGTTAATATTTCCGTCTCATGTTTGTAGGGTGGAGCTCCTGTGGGTCTGTCTCCTAAACCAGTGCAGGTTTTGTACGGACACACGGACGAGGTTGTGAGCGTCAGCATCAGCACAGAGCTGGACATGGCTGTTTCTGGATCACGGGTAAGAACTCATGACCACCTTTAATAGAAGTGTTCATTCACATTCTTCTTCACTGAGCTGGAAAATAGGGTTTAGACTCAGTGTCTGTTCAAACATCACAGTCAAGTTTACAGACTTTCACTTTATGCTATTGAAAAGTCTGACCTCACAAACAAAAATTGTCTTTTTTAACTTAAAACAGTTCACATGGAGAAAAAAAATCTGTTTATCACTTGTAACACAGTAACATTATCTTTATGTTTGATGGATAATTTCAGACTTATTTACATAGGTGTAAAGGTCTGTTGTCAAGTTCTAATTATGTGGACGTATAAATCCCTGCAGGACGGGACTGTGATCATCCACACAGTACGTCGGGGTCAGTACATGCGCTGCCTGCGGCCTCCCTGCGACAGCTCCCTACCACTGTCCATCCTCCACTTGGCTGTGTCATGGGAGGGACACCTGCTGGTCCACACCTGCCTTGAGGGCAAGGCCACGCTGAAGGTGCAGGAACTGGATGAACCTGGAATTCTGAGAGCTATTTATTAGTAATAGGTCTAGAGTCTGACTATAACATATGTGTTTTACTGATCTTTCCAGGATAAAAATGCTCTGCATCTCTACTCTGTGAATGGAAAGCACTTGTGCAGTGAGCCTGTGAAGGAGCAGGTGACAGACATGTGTGTCTCCGGGGAGTATGTCATCACCGGCAGTGAGCAGGGATTCCTTACCATCAGGGATCTGTACAGGTAAATGTTAAGAAAACCACCTATTGGCCCAGTTTGAATCATTTATTTTATATACATATAAATAAGTATATATAGATATGTCAGAATGTATAGATGTCTTTCCTTTTCCACTATTATGCCGTACACCAAGTGTCATTTTATTTCAACCTGGAAAGTATAAGTTTGTGAGCTGCTCACACATTCATACCGAAGTAAACCCCAGAAAAAGAAATGTGATTTTATATCAAGATACAAACTAGTGTTGAACCACTGCTGCTCCCATTAGTTACCTATAACTATAACTAGTTTGAAATCCTCAGGTTTAGTTTATATCGCACTTGGCCAAACCTGAAACTGAAAACAAAATGCTTATTTAATGGGTTTGTCATATTAAAGAAAGCTGTTTCTGTTTCTCCTTCACAGTCTTTCACTTAGCACTGACCCGATCCCCATGCGGGTGCCAGTGCGCTGTGTTTCAGTCACCAAAGAGCAGAGCCACATCCTGGTGGGCCTTCAGGACGGGAAGCTGATCATTGTTGGTGTGGGGAAGCCTGCTGAGGTAAAGAACTCTCTGAGAAACTACATCGCTCAGAGCCTGGAGGGATCTCCGCTCATGTCCTCCCCTCTGCTGGCACCTCTCCGAGCTCGCTCTCCAACACGGCTGTTGCACCAACGTGATCAGCTGGTCTTTAGCCCCGCCTCCAGTTCCCACAAACATTAGCTGTCACTATCTCACATGCACACTTGAGCTGTGCTAAGTCCTGCCCTCAAACACACAGCAGCCAAACCCTCATACAAAGGGGAAATGTATTATGCTACCTAGCTTGCATATTTTAGCTAATCTTGGACTTTAATACTTTAATCTGAGTTATTAGCGAGATAGCATGAAAGCTAACGAAAGAGAAAAAGCAAAAAACTACTCACTCATAGTGGTGTCTTAAAAAAAAGTTTCTGAAAAACTCAGAAGGTGCAACGTTATGTGTCAGGTTAAATTAGATCAGATTAGACATTCAATACCTTGATAGGAAATTAACATTAAGCTAGTTTCAGGCACATGAATCAAATATATTTTCTTTTAAGGTGTATTTCCAAATTAAAAATTTTTACCCCTCACATTTTAGTCCAAAACTGTTATTATCAAGTAGAGTTCAGTCCAGAATGTTTGAGTGATTTGGGGGCGGGGCTTTGCCATTGGTGCAGTGGTCACCTTTCTTTCTCAGGGTTTTTACCCCTCATACCTAAACACAAACACATCTTATTGTTTATTTGATTTTTGTTTATCTTTTATGAATGATGTGGGCACAAGTTTTAGTTTTACCACAGAACAAACTGCACTGAGTCATTTTCCAACTCAATCATCAGTCATTTTTTATTCAAATCAGTCAATTTTACATGAAGTGGTTTATCAGCTGATGACCTAACCTCATCAGTCACTCATCAGTCATGTCCCTCCTCCTTTTTCCTCTGTACCTCACCTTTTACTTTACTCCTGTCTTCCTCTGCTCCTTGGACATTTTTTCCACTCACCTCATTGGCTTCCTACTCTTCTTACATCTTTTCCCCTTCTTCTGCTACTTCTCCCAATTATTATTCCCCTTTTACCCTACATCCCTTTTCCCTTTCTCTCTTTTTACCCCTCCCCTCATCTCCTATTTGATTGCTCTCATTTTTGTCTCCTTGTTCTTTACTTTTCCACCTTTTTGTTCATTTTCTACTTTTTCTACTCTCTTCCATCTACCTCCCTTCACATTCCTATCATTCGTTCTCCTTCCCTTCCTCCTCCTGTTCCTGTTCCTCCTCCTTCATCTCTCAGATGCGTTCCGGTCAGGTTCCAGCAGAAGAATGACTCAGATCTCTTCAGGAGAGACTGTCTACAATACCCAGCACCACCTTCATCAGCACCACTGACCGATCCCCGCCCTGCTTCCTGACTCCTCCACCCTGACTCCTCCTCCTATTTCACATGGTCACCCAGTCAGCCTTCACACACATGTCCTCATTCTTTGTTTTCTTCACTCTTAAATGTTTTGTACCTCCTGACCATGGTCATCAGGTTTTTTTGAGGTGTGTGCGTGTGTGTGTGTGTGTGTGTGCGTGTGTGTGTGTGTGTGTTGGTGTTCATGTGGCTTGACTGAGTGATGCTGGCGTCTCCGGTCTGACCCTAGGCAGCATCACACTCAATGCTTCATTATCTCTTCCTAAAAAACACTGGTGTTAGGTGTTCTGAAACTTTTTCATTTCCATTACTTGTAATGTGAGTGTGTGTGTGAGTCAGTGTGTGTGTCTTGTGAATGTCAGCATGTTGTGTGTGGACTGTCGTCTCCTGACTTTACCATCAGTCAATATTTTTACAAAACGTCAGAACAACAGAACCTGGCAGTGAAACAACTCCCCCTGCCTTTTCTGTATCTGTCTGTTCCTCGTTGTCTTTTTTGTCGATACTTTCCTTTTTTGAATAATGTATGCAATTTGTTCTATTATTGGTCAGTTCTGAGATCTAATACAGCAAGACGTGTAGATAAAAATGAACCATGTTAGGTTTGGCCAAAGAAATTTTTTTTCAGTTTCATCTCTTTTGCATTATAACTAGAAGGAGTCACTGTCAGCTGTCAGTTAGGACTCCAGCCTTTTTCAAAGGACAACCTTAGGATTTAACTGATGAAGTGTTTGAGAAATTAGCTGTTAATGTGCTGCTAAATCAGCTAGCATGCAGATCACGTTAGCATAAAGCCATTCAAAATCAAGGATAAAGAAGGACAGTAAATATGCTTTTCACTAAATTTATAATTTCCTTAACCCTGATAAATGCATTTTGTGAAAAAAATGCATCGACTCCTGCAGCGAGCCTCCAGGGTTTGTGTATCATGTTGTCCATCTTTATTCTACAACACCTTAAAACACTACAATCTTCCATCTAAGGATCAGTGCTAGTGCTAGAGGTTTGATTTCTTCTTTATGTATTTTGTGTGACTTAAATGATTTTTTTTTTTTGGTGAGCTTTTACACAAACCATAGCAGTTTAAAATCTTATGACTGTTCATTGGGGAAAAAGACAAAGGAAAAATACATTTAAGGGCTTGTTTAAAAGTCAGTGAGTGTTAAAGCAATAGAGCTCGTCCGCCTGTCGCTGCTTTCAGATGTACAACAGTCATTCAAGTCTTCCTGTAGAATTATCCAGATTAGTAAACTTGACGTTGTCCGTCCTCTTTCCAAGCTCAACCGCCTCTAGTGCTTAAACTATCAACTTCCAGTATTCTACATCTCGTTGTCACTGCAAATAATGTCAGAAGAATCGGTCAAAGCATTTGCGTTGCCTTGAGAATCTGCACAAGTTCATCTTCATGTCTTTGTTGAATTATAATTGGAAATTTCAACCAAAATAAAACAAAAAAATCAAACGCTAAAAAAAAACCTCCCTTTTCAACAATACATTAACTTTCACACTAATGTGATGGTTCTGTTGTTTCACTAATTTGACTGAATTTAACTTGACAGAAAATCCGCTGATCCCAAGAAATGTTTAATAAATATTCCAATACAGTTGCAAGGGACACAAATAATTGATATGCTCAAACTATACACTTTATACAAAAGACTACCTGGGCATACATACCAAAATGTACTCTAGTTTTTCAGTTTTTAAATTTGAACATTTGAATCAAGAAATAGTATATTCACATTTAGACTGTGGAAGATTTTTGTCAAATGTAGTTTTGTCAAAGGAGACTTTGTGCCAGTTGTAACACTAAAGATCCAGTTATGTGAGCCATTCAAGTAACATGACACTAAAAACACTTGGAATCATTTTTTCAGGCAAACATAAGATAAAATGGACCAGTTTTGCCTAGTAAGATAAACAGTTCCTGGAACCGTCTCCAGTTCCTCATACCTGTTCTTGAAGTGGAATCTCACCTAAATCTTGATTGAGACATTTTTCTTTTTCCTATCCACAGTTCTTGGTACATGTTGTTAGCATGAAACTTCACTGTGCGTCAATGTTGATACAAACTCTAAAAATCTTAGAAGTGCTGCTTCTTCGTTCACTCGTGTTTAGCTTCTTTTACACGTCATAGGGAGACAGAAAAACACTGACCAATCTTTGTCCTTCCTCTAGGATTTCTGAAAGGTGCATTAGAGTGTTTCTCCTTCCAGACAAACGACCACTGTTTGAGTTTGTTCGTCAAACAGAGTGCCTTTATCTGAGTGTGATTTGTTTTTTCTCTCATTACTGAAGATTAAATGTGTGTGAATGGAGTGAGGCAGCATTCCACAATTTAAATCCACTGTTTATTTTTCCAAGAAGGAACCATGAAAGTACATGAATCCTTTTTTCTTTTTTGTCTTAGCTGTTTTTTCTTTTTTTTTCTGTCACTATCACCAAATGGATGTGTGTATATCTTTGATTATTTATGAATATATAAATATCTATATATAGAAATGTACAGCATGATTTTTATTTGGAGAAAAAGTACTTTTTTGCACTTTACAGGTACTAAAGTTGTCAGATTGTTTTAACTTGGCTCTTGTTGTCTGTAAAAAATAATAAATGCTTTGTTTTATAAAAACACACATTCATGTGAAAACGATCAATAAAGTACAGAGGAATTTCTGACTGTGTGAATTGTTTTGCATAAAGACGAAAGAAGGAAACTGAGATGTGAAGGTAATATGCATTTAGAGTTTTATTGGTTGGTTCAACAGCTAAGCTGAAGGTCTGACGCTGTGTTTTCTTCATGCAGTGACAGGAAATGAACAGAGGGAGGCTCTCTCAAGGTCACAGTCGGCTGCCGTCCACCAGCTCTCATCTGAAGGAACAACGGGACCGTGTCAAACAGTAACAGCTCCATCATTAATAATGGTTATTATTAGTTCACTATGGTTGTTATCCACTTTTTCAGGATTATATAAAAACTTAAAAAATTTAATTTCGTTGTAAGTTTCGTTGTAAGTCGAGTTATTTTTTACAACACAATAGTGAGAAATAGTTTAGATAGTAATTGAAACTAGATTTTTGGGGTTTTATTTAATACATCTGCCATTTTTTGGAAGTAGTTTTGGTACCATGCAATAAGGACTTTTAATTGTTCAAGGAGAGAAAACAATGTTAAAATTGGTTAAAGTTGATGGCAGCACTTACACTATTAAAAGTAATGTAATCATTACTAATATGTTATGAAAAAGTGTTAAATGGGACAGTATGTTGACTAAAAAATTGATTATCATATCAAAATATGGTATTGTATTAAATCAAACATTCTGGCATCGGTTCAGAAGGTCTGTTCCTCATTACTTCAACCAGGATGTAAACAGATAGGATGAGGGACAGGGACAGAAAAACAAAAATGTAGATGGAAAAAAGTGCTGCACATGTGGCTAAACTAATCACACTGTCCTTCAATACACTTTTAAATTTTGTCCACAAGTTTTGTTTTCTCAGCAGTGACTTTGGTCCAGGCAGTAAAATGTTTGATGGATTCACATTTATCCATTGGTCCAGGATGTCCTGCAGCTGACGTCTGACCTGTGACAAGGTTGGAGAAACAACCTCGGTGTTGTCCAAACGATGGACATTGGTGGTGGATGGATTAGGTACCAACAGGTCATGGCAGGTCTTCCTCTTCACCCTGTTGGTCTCCTCTTCTACCTTTTCTTTAAGATCTCTGACTTGGTTGTCTTCAGGTTGTTGCTGAGATCTGTTGCACTTGTTCAGACAACAGATTGGCTCAGCAAGGATTTTTTCGATGGTCTTCGCTGCCTCGTTAGATGAGCAATGAACATCTTTTATCTCCTGTTTGTCTGTCTTGACATATTTGATGAATTGATCTCTCTGCCCGAATTCTTCTCTTTTCTGCTTTTCTTCATTTTCTTCTTGAACAGGGTCTTTGTTGTGGACATGATGTTCACCTGCAGAGCAGAGGTAACTCTGGCCATCCTCATAATTCTGAGAGACGGTTTTCTCTTGGAGTTTCTTTAAAGGCTCCTCTACCTCCAGTTCTTTAAATGCCTGTGATCCAAAGTTAGCCTGGAGGTGGTTCTCACTGTAGGAGGTGGAATAAACCAAACGAGACTGGGAAACCTTCACGTCTTGCTCAGTGCAGGTTTCACAGGACCCATCTACGGATCCAGCGGGACAGAGATCAAGCTGGAGGCTAGTTCTCTTCAGCTCCTCTGCTAACACCACCAACATGGAGCTTTTCATAAGGACAAGCCTAGGGATGAAGGTCTGCTCACACAGAGGACACATAGATATGACCTCCATGTCTTCTGTGTCCCATTGGTCTTTAATACAGTTCATACAGTAGTTGTGTCCACAGGGAATGGTCACTGGATCATTCAGTGAATTCTGACAGATGGAACAGGAAACACTTTCCTGCTCAAGTTGATTTACCTATTACGGAAGGTTCTTCAGTATTTTATGCCAGTATCTGATGTTGCATTACTACATATATACACTAGCTTTTGCTTCTATTTAATTTGTACTTGGCTAAACACTGGCTAATTTGTAACTAAGGGCTAACTGATCTTTGTTTCCCTTTGTACTTCCCAACTATCTCTTTCTCAGGTTAGGAATGAGATCAAAGGATTAAAGGTCTTTTTTTATCATACATCAGATTCTTAATATATATATTGGTATCTTTTTGTGAACTTTAACAGATGTAGGTTCATGTTTTTAGTAACCTTTAGTATCATTCTTTCTCTCTTACCTTTTTTTTTGCTAATGTTTAGTATTCTCAGGACTAACTTTACCTTCTAAACCTGTAATTTTGCTAAATGTTTAGTTATCACTTATCATTGTGTCCTTTAAGTAACTGCTTTGCACACCTTTTGTTTTATTTAATTGTTTCTATGCAAATTCTGACATTTATGACTAACATTAATATTTAATGAATTATTCTTTCTAAACTGTAACACTTTGTTTTCCTGTTAGCTTGCTTAACTTTCATCATAGAGACATTTTAATAAAATAACCTTGATGGACATTAAACATTTACATGAGGCAAAAGACAATTTAAAATATTTAATTCTAGCATAATAAATTTTACCATGGCATTAAAATAGGGCTCAAAATACGTAGTGTGTGAATCTTACCGATCTGGAACATCTCCATACACACAGGTTTTTCAGTGTGAATATCAGGATGGCCTGGTTTCCAATCACTGTATGTCCATTCAGAGCTGTCTACCCAAGATGCCTTCTGGTCCTGAGGTAGACCACGAACACACACAGAAAACACATACACGTAAATCTTCTACATTTTTTAAAATTCGCCTTTTGCCAGTTTTTTAAGAACTTTAAATCTTAGATTTTTTTTTCATCTGCTAAGGACAGAAAATCTTAAATCACTGCTCAGTGGAATTTGCCTTGGTCAATGTTTCCACTAGAGTTATAAAAACACTATCAGTCCTGCTGATAACGTCTCTGAATATCTCTCTCCTTGACCTTGTTGTTTTACATGGGTCAGTGCCCCGCTAATCAGCTAATGTACTGCTGTGACGTGGATAAGAAAATAATCAGTGATGCAACGAAGCACTGGCTCCATCAAGTCCTGGTAACATGCAGTGGAAACTTAGCTTTTATTGTAGCTTTTAAAGTTGTTTAAAAAAAATAGAGACAGATCAAAAGTCCATGAACATCGGTGAAAAGGATCTGACCTGGACTGTGCCTCCGAGCCATGTCAATACTGGGTTCTTCTCACCACCCTTAGTCACCAGTGAAACCAACCTAGAATGCAGATCACCACTGGTTATGGACGCAAGCTCAGCTCCTGGGGCACGAGTTTTGCAGGAGACCTAAAAGTCCAAGACAAAATAATGCAGAGAGTTTGATTCAAAGAGTCATACGTACTCTAGAGTGACTGTGGAAGTAGGTCTTCATACCTGTGCCTCCTTGAAGGTCATTGGCATTTGGTTAAACTCATAGCAGATCTTGTGGAATACAAATCCTTTGCATGTCATCTGGGTTTTGATCATAGGAACAGAGGGTTCTGTTCCCTGTCTAAAACCCTCTGGTATGGGCATCATGCGTTGGGTTCCCTGCCTGAAGCCATCTGGAATCTTAAAAGCTGGTTCTGTTCCCTGTCTGAAACCCTCTGGTATAGACATCCCTGGTTGGGTTCCCTGTCTGAAGTTTTCTGGAATCTTAAAAACAGGTTCTGTGCCTTGTCTAAAACCATCTGGTATTGGCTTCATGTTTTGGGTTCCTTGTCTGAAGCCTTCTGGAATCCTAAAGGCAGGTTCTGTGCCCTGTCTAAAGCCAGCTGGGAGTTGAAAAGCTTTGGATTCCTGACCACTAGGTTCAGTTCCCTGTCTGAAACCACCTGGGAGATGGAAGGCACTCTGTTGCTTTACCTCACCAACATCTGGAATCAAACCTGTGGGTTCGGTTCCCTGTCTGAACCCACCTGGGAGATGGAAAGCATTCTGTTTCTTTACTTCAACATCTAGGATCAAACCTGTGGGTTCGGTTCCCTGTCTGAAACCACCTGGGAGTTGAAAAAGACCAGGTTTCTCTAGCTCAACAACATCTGGGATCAAACCTGTGGGATCGGTTCCCTGTCTGAAACCACCTGGGAGATGAAAAGCCCTCTGCTTCTTTACCTCAATAACATCTGGGATCAAACCTGTGGGTTCGGTTCCCTGTCTGAAACCACCTGGGAGATGGAAAGCATTCTGTTTCTTTACTTCAACATCTGGGATCAAACCTGGGGGTTCGGTTCCCTGTCTGAACCCACCTGGGAGATGGAAAGCATTCTGTTTCTTTACTTCAACATCTAGGATCAAACCTGTGGGTTCAGTTCCCTGTCTGAAACCACCTGGGAGATGGAAAAGACCAGGTGTCTTTACCTCAACATCTGGAATCAGACCTGTGGGTTCGGTTCCCTGTCTGAAACCAACTGAAAGATAAGAAGCACTGACTTTTTTAACCTCAACATCTGGAATCAAACCAGTAGGTTCGGTGCCCTGTCTGAAACTATCTTTGGGTGTAAGAGAAGATGTAAGCTGAGGAATATTGGATGGATGTTCCCCTCGTACCCAACCACCATCACCAACCCTTTGGGCTGGGACGTCATCAGAGACTGCAAGAGAGAGGTAAATTAATTGGAATAAGATTTTAATACATATCACACAGTATATTAAAAAATAATGGTTTCTTGTTTCCTCACGTTCATCTGTCAACCAGTGTCGTCTTCTCATCTCACCAAATCCATTCCCTAGAGTTGTACGGATGGTAGCTGTACAAGAAGCAACATTACAAATGTTTGTTCTAAAGCTACCTGGTAACTTAAGGACTTAAAAAATCAGGTGTCACTTGAGTCACTTCCTCACCGACTTCCTTGCTCATGTCACTGATGTCATCCTTCAACAGGTTGGTGTTAAGGTCTCCAGGAAATGTCCTTGGGGAGTCCCCGCTAAAGACATCGGTGTTCTCCTGAAACCCTGGGAGAGGGCGAGCTTGAAGGCCTGTGATAGGTGAGGGAAATTAGGAACATTTTGGGAAACATGAAATCAAGTTTTTGATTTCAAAAGGCCATTGAGTAACCTTTTTAGATAAGCACTTGAAGAACATTGTTTTTTGTTGGTTTGTGAAAAGTAAATGTTTAATATTTTAATGTTTAGGTACTTAACAGAAGACAAATATTTGATCTTCAAATTACAGATTTTTTTTAACTGATTTTTAACTAGTGACATGGTAAAATACAAAGAGATATTTATTATTTATGCGAAGGGTAAAACAGAAGAAGAGTTGAGACAGAGTCCAAATGTGCAAAGGCCTTTTATAATAAAATATTAACAATTGTCCCACAGCCATAAATAATCGGTACAGGTTTATTAATCATAAATATAATCTTCGTGCAGATGCAGAGGTTAGAAGATTACACTATCAGTTTTTTTCTGATAGTGTAAACATTAACACATTTATTGATATAAATGGAAAATAAAACAGTAAAGACAAAAGACATCTGAAAGTTAGAGTAGAAATGCCTGAAAATCTGAATTGTAATCAAAGTTTGAAATCGGCAAGAAAAAGAAAGAAAAATATGCTTGTTAGCTTAAGAAGCTACAGTCTACTGAAATATAAGCTTCATTTTAAGCTCCAGCTAACTGAAAATATAATTTCAGTATAATATTGAAAATACATTCCATCATTTTCCTTCTTACAGATTTATCTTTTGGAGGGAGATTTGTTTCATGTAACACTGTAAACTCTATTTAGGAAAAATGTGTTTTGTGAGATTGGGCTAACAAGGAAAAAAGAGAGAGAGAGAGAGAGGCGGAGAGAAAGAAAGAAAGAAAAGACAAAAGACAGATGTTGAAATTTCAATAAATAAAAGCAACTGTCTTTTTGCCTCTGAATCGGTTAACTGTTCAAATAACCTGTTCCATAGAATCGGCATAAACTTCATGTAGGTGTGTGAATGTTTGCCCTGAAAGAACTTTTTAGGATTAGGGAACACTGGACTGTTGTACCAAATCACATTTGGTTTCTTTCGTTTATCACTAAGCCATTTCCAATTCTTTCACTAATATTCAAAAATGTTTATATGCTTTGATGTCAAACACCCACAGGGAAGATGAAAATGAAAATGAGACTTAAATAATAATAGTAGAATATTTTATGCCCATGTTGTTGCCCGGGCCAATCCATTGTACTTAGATATTGTTTACAGTATGTGGTGAGTGATGTCTAATAATCTTCTAGTGGTTTTGGTGACCGCTTGCCAATAGTTGTTTTCATGCAAAAGGAGGTTTAAGCTAATATAAATCTAACTTTAAATATAATATATTTTGTGTTTAGAATAAATTAGTAAATTATAATAGGCTAATTTAAATATTTTATTACATTTTACTCAAACGTTTTGGAAATATCCAACTCAGTTTAATTTGAAGTTATATAATGAAACAATTAAAAATGTAATAACATAAAATAATAATAATAAAAAAGGCATTCTCACCTGACAGGGTCAGGAACAGCAGCACAATCCTTAACATCCTTTTGGAAAAATAAAAAACAAACGTTAATACTTGGCTGACTCTGTAGTAATCATGTCACCTGTAAACAGATGATAGACTGCTACTCACCTGTGACACTGAGTGACTGACAGCCTGAAGGCTGCAGGTTTATATATGTTTATGGATCATAAACCTCAGCTGGAGCCTGATAAGGCTGCAGCTATGATGGCGTCACTCTGGCTTCTCTTTCCTGCACAACCTTTGACCTGTGATGTAACAGGAGCTCATTCATTCATAGCCAGGTTGTCCTAACACACTTCCTGTTTTTCGGGTAAACCTTTAAAAGGTGAATGGCATCTGAACCAGCTCAATCGATATTTGTGAATGTGGATTTCGACATATGACAGTGAAGGCCACCTTAAGTCAGTCAGAGGGTAGAATGCCACTGTTATTTAAAATTCTGTTGTAGATATTTTACACACATTCTGTGTGTGGTTTGCTTATTTCCCCAAAGCATGTTTTTATTCAGATAAAAATCTCCCAGTTCCAGTGTATCCTCTTATGATACATCTGATTATATTCGAATGTAATGTAATATTTGTAGGAAATACTCTAGACATATACTGTTTAGATGTCATTGAGATATTATTGTTGCTGAAAGAGTTTCCAAGATAACTTAATTTAGGAAAAGGTTAACCCCCTACTAAACGGAGACTTCAAGATAAAAGAGGTGATTAAATAGAAAATGTACCCGATTATGTGTTTACGATGTGTTTTAATATGAGGGGTTTTAATTTACTTATTTAAACCGATCACGTATTTAACGTTCTACAGCTTTATCTTATGTGAACGTAATTGGGGAAAAATAGCAGCACGTCGGCGTCCGGTCCTTTTACTTTGTAAAAACTAGTCTAGAACCGGGAATTCCTGTAAGGGAGATGCCTCCGCGGACATTATCGCGAGACAATCGACTGTTTATTCTTGTAGAAGGTTAAACACACGTGAGCCACGGACCGCAGTTGTACTTACGTAATAAGTGCGACAGTAAAAGAGTACAGTACCTGAGTTTAGCTCAACTTTGTTAGCATTTAAATTCAAACAGCAGCTTCCTGTCCCCCCTCGTACACAAGCGAACAGCGCAGCCACTGACTGCAAGACCGTGTCCGTGCAAAGAGAGGAGCCGTGACATTGTGAACTTTAAGTCACGGAAATGGCTCTGGTATCAGCAGTGCGTAGAATCGCCCAGGTTCGGTTACGGGACTTGTGTCGTCGGTCGACGGTTGCGGTAGCGGTGTCTCCCGGAGCCTGTGTGACCGGGCTGAGAAGCTTCACGGCCGGGACACAGTCGCTCAGGTCTGTGTTCTGTATTTCCCAAAATGACTGTGAATAATGTTTGAAATCTGTTATTTTGTTGTCTACTAACAATTTCTCTTATTTCAACATACGCCTATGCTTTTGTAAAATGTTCTTTTAATAGATTACGTCTATTTCCAGAGTGGTTAATAAGATGTTATGTGAATATTATTAATATATGTTTTAGTGCACATTCAAAGTGTGATAAAATTGTAGTAAAAAATGAACAATAAGCTCAATTCTAAGGTTACATCAAGTGCATTTTAAATTTATAAATATGTGTGAAATACTACCGAGGTAGATTATTCCAAAACATTTAGGTCATACAATGAAATACTAAACAATCCCTGCAAGAACTCAGCTGAGGTTCTACAAGATCTACAAGAGTTTTTTTTATAGCACAGATGAACTCTAAAAACCCTAAAATGTTAGTGTCAGTAGATTGTACAGTTCATTATCTCTTCAGAACTACATCCTTCTCTTGTTTAATACAATCCTGGGGCATCCTTGTGTTTGCTGTTAAGTTTTGTTGTTTTGTTGAGGAAACACAGGAGTTGGACCAGTGTTTAAACACATAACCTGCAATCAAATTGAAGATAAACCTTTCAGTTAGTTTTGGCATTGTTATCATGATGTTATTGCTGTTTGACATAGAGGAGATTAGCAATAAAAAAAAAACAGCAGTAGAGCGACTTCTCCTGTGACCTCACAGGCCAAAACATTAAGGTTTTCTTTATAAGCCTGTGTAGATAAAAAACATGCATTCGCTGGTGCTTATATAATAGAAGGATTGCATTAGCCATACATGTGTAGCATTAATGAGCATGTGTAGCACATGAGCTGCCTCCTACTGGTAAAAAACAGCCTCTCATCACATGACATCTTAAAGATTTTAGTTCGTTGTAGTTTTTATATCCATTCCTGTAACCCTGAAAGGATTAGCTGAGCTTATCTCTCACTTTCCTTTATTAAAAGAAATCAACTGTTCACTGGGAACCGGGATTTACTGGTTCACTTCTGCCCCGTATGGTTGATTTGTGCCATTGACATAAACCTGAAACAAATTCAAACTAAAGTGACTGACTTTATGACATTGGCAGCAGTGGATCAAAAACATTGTATGACAGTATAAAATCACTGCTTTTGTGACAAAATTTAAACTCTGTTCTTTGGGGTTTTTTTTTCCAGCCATCACTTGTCCTTCGTGATTAACTGATTCATCTGTTTGTCCACTTTCAAGGCTTCTTTCATTCAAGCTTCCAGCTGTTGTTGCACAACCACTGTTTACTTCAATTCAGGGTGAAGGTTTGCTTCACCAGGCTGGCCTTAACCTGGCTGACACTGGACGTGTGTGTGTGTGTATTTGTGTGTTGATGTCAGGCGACCATGGAGAAGCAGTGACCCTGTTGGAACTTCAGTTTTCTGAATCCAGAATGTGCCTATTTTTTTTAAAGCATTTTAATCCTTTTACTTCAGATTGTAGTCAGATTACTCAGAGGGTTTACTTTGTTGATCTCATGTTCTCCCACTGAGTTTAAATCCTTTATACATTAGAGCTGCCTGAGACCATCAGAGCGATGGAGCAAGAACAGTCTGAACTGAGTGTAATTCAGTGTTCACTTGAAGCCAAGAAATGAAACATGTCATTGTAATAATGAAAAGACATTGACTATGACTATCCTTGAGGAAAAAAAGCTGATACTGTAAGACTGATATTAAATGAACTCTCATTTTCATGTATGAACATTTTCCCCCAAAGAATCATTGATGTAATCTATAATACTTACATTATAATCTCTCTTTCTCTCTCTCTTTCTCTCTCTCTCACTCTCTCTCACTCACTCTCTCTTTCTCAGGTCAGATAATAAAGTGACTGTTAACTTCATCAACAGAGATGGAGAGAAGATCACAGTTAAAGGTTCACCTGGAGACTCGCTGCTGGATGTGATTGTAAATGAAGACCTTGACTTTGACGGCTTTGGTTGGTACACACACACAATCACACAATCACACACACACACCTACATTTTTCCTGCATGACCAGACCTGTGTGAAAGTTTGCATTAGAACAAGCTGTCTCGTCCATTCTATTGTTGTTACATGGTTTGTTTGTGCGCGTGTGTTTTTAGGAGCATGTGAAGGAACGCTGGCCTGCTCCACCTGCCACCTCATCTTTGATGAAGATGTTTTTAAGAAGCTGGAGCCAGTCACAGACGAGGAGCTAGACATGTTGGACCTGGCCTACGGTCTGACAGAAACGTAAGAACATGGGCAGAAAAACACTAGACAGAGAGTACTGTCATTTAAATTTGCTTAGTAAACCCTATATTTTCTTAACACCATTAGAAAACAGCTGAAGGCCAGTGTCAGGACAGATGTGACGAAAGAGCAAGAAAAAAAGTCTTGTAGTGCGACCTGCTATGATGTATGGTTTAGAGACAGTGTCTCTGTCTAACAGACAAAAGGCTGAATTGGAGGTGGAGGAGGTCAAGATGTCAGTGGATGAGATTTTCACTGGACCAGGGTGGACAGGATTAGAAATGAGCAGATCAGAGGGACAGTTGAGGTGGAGATGTTCTGGACGTGTTGAAGAGAGAAGACAATCCTTTGGGCAAAGAATGTTGGTGTTGGACTTGATAGGCAAGAGGGGGAGAGGAAGACCTCTGAGAAGATTTGTGGAGGTTGCGATGAAGGACATGGTTTTGGTGGGTTTAACAGTAAAGGATGAGATGGAAGACAGTGGTCAATGCAATATCTGAAACATTATTAATCAGGTTAAAACTTGAACACAATGAATGAGATTGTGAGGGACTGTACACTGATTAATATTGTTGATTACAGGGGCTTCACAGATCTAGAAGAATTTACTGTACAGTAATGAGTAAAATGCACCAACTCTAAGCTTTTTGATTCATGCTTTAGCATATTGTTCCTTTTTTTTTCACAAATAAAAAGACAGACAAACATATACAGTATACTGAAGATGTACAGAAAAAGTTTTTTTTCTCTTAGGAATGTTAATAACGCTACAGTTCCACCAAACCTTTTTAGTGGTTAAATAATTCCAAAATGAATGTATGAAATAATGAAAGTAATTTTAGTTTGAAATTGGATGAATCCATTTATTCATCATGTTCAGTCATTAACACCTTAACCCCCTCCTCCCCCTCCCTGTTCTGCTCAGCTCTCGTCTGGGTTGTCAGATATGTTTGACCAAATCACTGGAGGGAATGGTGGCCAGAGTTCCAGAGAGTGTGTCAGACATCCGGCAGAGTAACGATGGAACTGCATAACTCTGGCTTCACGGCTGACCTCCAGCATTGTCGCTGCTCTGGAGTGTTAAAACCAGATGTGGTCAGAACTGATTCCACTCCTGAACACATGCAATGGACAATTCCGTAGCTGTGCCGAGCTGCACTGCTGTCAAAGCTGCTCCAGACGACTGCAGCAGGATGTGAATAAGAAATAAAGTCAGTGCATCTGAGTTAACATAACATGTAGTTGATCTAAACTCAGGACAAACTGTTGGGCCACTTCATTATGTAACTAGTGAATACAGACAAGGCACATAACATGCTTTATTGAGTTCTATTTACAGACTTAGACATTTATATAAACTCTTCACTGCTGTTCTTTTCAGATCTTTTTTTATCATGTAACCTTTAAACTTCCTCCTGTGTACGATTATACAAAGGTATAATCTGCACATGGGGAAATTTTTAAACAGAAATATTATAACAAATAAAATCTATAAGATTTGTTTGGTCTGTTTGTATGCAGTGTTTGAAGTATTTCTTTCGTTCCGCTTAAATACAAGACGCTTTTTTTCTGCCTTGCTCTTTTTGTCCAATAGAGGGCAGCATGGGAGTATTTAACGTGTCTTATTCAATAGGTTTCTAAGCAACAGTGTTACCATGGAGATGTCTGATCGATTCCATGTGATAGGGGTCCACAGGTGTGGTGATGATGCTGCTTTTGTGTTTGTTTATTTGTTTTTTAAAGTTTGAACACTTAGCACTAGAATTAGTAATTAACTTGTTTTGATTCATAGAAAAAAATGGAATGTGTTATGCGTTTGATTTGTCCACGTGTGTGCACGCAGGCGTCAGACGAGAGAACAATTAGAGAGCAGGTGTGGTTGTATCGCTGCACCGTCACATCGAGCCTCGGTGTAAATGTTTTTGTCTCACTGTCAAATTTAAGGGTCCAAAGATTCTACTTCTGGTACCACCTTCAGAATAAGAGCCTTCGATTGTAAATATTAGTCACCACTGAGTTTTAAAAGTACTTTGACTCACACTGTTAATCTTAAATGTGACCATGTCTGTTTTTGTCTAACTTTTTGCTACATGTGGGGGTAACCGACTTTGATTTCACAGTAGCATTTCCATTGAGTTTGAGCAGTCGTTATAATTTACTGTGGCTAAGGTTAGTTTGGTTAGTTTCCCCCTTTTAACTAATACACGCAGCCTGGTGTCTATTATCATTGTTGTGTAAAACTCTGTTGTAAAGACGCCTGTGTCACTTTGAACAGCGTGTCCTCAGAGGATGTCAACACAGGAAGAAACCGGTGACGTAACGTCATAGACACCAACTGAAGCAAAACACAACCATTCAAACCATCATGAATGTCGTGGACACTGTCGGAACTCTTCACTGCAACAGAACCAACGAATGACGTGTTAGAGTGTAGTGACCAGTATTGACAAAATAATGTATTTATATTTGTTACAGGTAAAGTTGTTCCGTGGCTTTGTTTTCTACGTCTTACGTTGTTGCTGTTGCTGTTCGTTTCAGAGTGAAACATAAAAACAGTGGTTTTGTTGTGACAAGATGATTTCCTGTTTCACGCCACCTCAGTGTGTGTGTGTGTGTGTGTGTGAGCGAGCTTTGTCGCGGGTGCAGACGCACACCACAGATATACACACCACACACGCACACACACAGGAAGAGTGTCGATATTTTCTTTACTCCCTCTCCTCTCTGAGGTCTTCTCACCCCAGTGCGACATTCCTGTGGAGGAGATGACGGACTCCACAGAGTCCAGGGAGAGGGACGGTGTCCAGCAGCCTGTTGAGGCTCTGGGCCATCACACTGGACATAGGACTGAGCAGGAGCAGGAGCTTCAACAGCAAACGGAGGTCCAGAAGGTGCAGCAGCAGCAACAGCAGCAGCAGGAAACTCTTCATCAGTTCAGTCCAAACAGCAAGACGAGGTCCGCGGAGATCATGGATCGGGAGATGAAGATCACCGACAGCATAGATACCAGAGGTGAGAGCTTTGGTGCTGTTTCTCCCTTGAACAAACTCTCGTTCTTCAGTTTGTTTTGAAGAGATAAACTCTCATTAGACACGTTATACATTTCAGAGAAAATATTGCTTGCAAGTAAAAGTGTGGAATGAATCGAAATTAACATGAGAAAAATGTCAAATATCAGATGGAAGGTTATTGTTTTGTTAGCCAGTTTGTTAAAGAGTTAATATATTAAGTTGATGATAGATCAGTGGCAGGTAAAGAGATATTTAAATGTCCAGTATAGAATAAGAAATTCAGAAATTTAATTTTGATAAAAAAAGTTTAAGAAGTTAAAACCTTAAAATTAGAAGGTGACATCCATAAGATGTTGAGAAAAATCTAGAGAAGCTGAGGTAATACCTAAAATTTTGAGATAAACCTCACAATTTGAAGACAAAACCCAGAAATATTCAGATGAACCTGGAAAATCAGAAGATTATAAACTGAATGAAAGTCAAAATTCTGAGATACATATAGTCAAACCTTGAAACTTCAGAGTGATAAATGTAGGGATCTGATTTTTTATTTTTTTTTTTTTTTAGTTGAACTCCTTAGAAATGTTGTTGATGATCAAATGTAAACGTGTTTGTCTCTCAGGTCTGCTGGAGAGCAGTGTTCGTCTGAAGCCTCACGAAGCTCAGAACTACAGGAAGAAGGCTCTGTGGGTGTCCTGGACGTCCATCCTGGTCACCATCGTCCTCGCCATCGCTGCTTTCAGTCAGTGACACAAACACACACACACCAAAGATTTAACAATCAGAAAAGTGACGAGCAGAGACAAACCCAGAGACAGACCAACTTTTGTTACTCAAAATCACCACTGCATTGTGGGATTGGTCCTGGTGTTGGATAGTTAGAGTCAGTGAAGACAGACATGTCCTGCAAAACACGTTATTTATCTTTTTGTGTGTAAATATTACAGCTGCAGACACACGTGTCTTTGTTCATCCACACTCAGCAGGTAGAACGCTGAACAGAGCTCTCAGCAGCGCCCTCTGTTGCTGGAAACAGCCTGAAACAGTGTCTCATTGGAGACAAAATTCATAGAAAAATCAGAAATGAGCTGGAGGCAGATTATGGAACAGAGTCAGAGTTGGGTCTGAGTCAGAGCTAGAGTCTGAGTCTGAGTCCAAGCTGGAGCAGCTTGGTCTCCTCACAGACAACAGAGTGCAGCACCGTGTTTTTATCACTCATTCACCACGTTTCACCACGTAACAAAATGCTCTCTCTGAGAGAGAGAGAGAGAGAGAGAAAGAGAGAGAGAGAGGAGGAAACAACAGTGTTTTATTATATTCTGGAAAAAAATGGAGGAAGCCATGCTTTCCCTGGTCTCTGCAAGAACACACTACCACTTAGCCAGAGAGTAGTAAAAAAAAAGATGGAGGAAGAATGAAAGTTAGAAGTGATGAAGGTCAGTAGTAAGAGCTGAGCTGAGGAGAATCTGTCCTCATAAGAATTCAGAAAAAAATAAACCTGACAATTGCAGGGGTGTGTGTGTGTGTGTGTGTACACATGTGCTTGTGGCATGTTACATACCACCGTGTAGATGATAATCTACTACTGTCTCCATCAGTGAGTTCTAATATTTGATTTTATGATATTTATGAGAAAAAATATCTTTGTTCAAATATAAAATATCAGTGACACAAACTGACCACAGGAGGCAGTGGTGGACCAGCACCACACGGGTCTGCGTAAACAAAAACATTCTAATGTCTCACTGACTCGTCTCTCTGTATTTGCAGCGGTCTCCATCATGCGCAACAGTGCGTCAGCGTTTGGCTTTGCTGTGAGTATGATTCTCCCTGGTGTTTTCCTGAAGCTTCGTCGCTGGATGTAAATGTGTGACTCTCTCTTCTCACAGTTTGATGCCACTCTGGATGTGCTGTCGTCCATCATCGTGCTGTGGCGATACAGCAGCGCTGCTGCAGTTCACTCTGCCCACAGAGAATACATGTGAGTGCAGTGACACGGCATGAGTGTGAGGCTACATGAGCAGACCGTTCCCCCTCTCTGTTCTGATACCTTTATATTATACAACCAAGCAATTCAAATATGAGAACGTTTAATTTCTACAAAAAGTACAAAAAAATAAATTCTTACTTCTTTTTTCCAGACAGTCAAAAAGTTCAAAAATAAGAGTCTGTGAATGACAGACTCTAAATACCAAAAGAACTAAGTCCTATATGACATTCCTTAAAGGTTGTTCAAAGGTTAAACATCTGAATGGTTGAAGCTTTTATTTGTCTGAAGCCAAACTTTTAGGTGATGAATGTCAAATTTAAAATTCTAATAGTTTTAATCTTTGGTGGTGAGTGACAAATGGAGAGCAGGGAGAGATTGTTGTCAGACATGACACCTGGAAAATCCCATGCTCCCAGTACATGTGGACTCAGACCTCCCATGTCTTTGGCTTAGTTAAATGTTGTTCAGATCGACGCTGTGCTTTATATCACACAGATGGAAGACAATTCATTTTTCAGTGTTGTTCAACTACAGACTGTTATGAGTGATACTGACATCTCCTCTTACGCCTGTCCAGAGCCTGTGTCATCTTAGGTGTCGTTTTTATCCTGTCCTCCCTGTGCATTCTGGGTAAATCCATCCATGACCTGGCAACCAGGCTGCTTCCTGAAGTGGTGAGAACCTGTAAAATGTTTAATTGCTGTGGATAAACATCACAGCCCATGTGGTTTATGACCTCATCCCAGGTTACCAGTTGACTTCATCATTTCTATAGTGATGATGATATGATATTTTAGGAAGCATCATAAGATTTACACGTGACATTAGTGACATTATTCATACACACACACAAAACACACACAGGGAACACACATCCACATGGGGCTGTTTAGAATAAATGACAGTTAAAGGGACAGTAGTTCTAATCATCAAGACATCAGTGGACTGTACATGTGTCACAGTGAAAAACACAACTTGGTCACAGATCTCAGGTCAGTTCTACTCAAGACACAGATCCAGGGCTGATGTCTAGAACTTTACCTTGTTTTTTTTTCTTTTCAGGACAACTTCCTGTTCAGTGTGGCCATCATCAGTGGGCTGGTCTGCATTGTCCTGGCCGTCATAAAATTCATGCTGGGAAAAGTCTTGACAAGCCGAGGAAAAGTCTTGACGAGTCGAGCACTGATCACTGATGGTAGGTGTAAACGAGAGATGCTTGTGCTTCATGCGGTGCGATGAGATTAATGAGTTGACCTTTGACAGACACAGACATTGGAGGAATCTGTCACACTGGTGTCCTGACTGTACTGGAGGTCACATGACCACAGGAGTACGAGAGAAACAAAAAAACAGACTGACTTGAAACGTATCTCATGGAATTCACTTATTTCCCATTTCTAGGTTTTAATTCTCTGGTTGGAGGAATCATGGGATTCTCCATCCTCATCAGCGCTGAGGTCTTCAAACATGAACCTAACGTCTGGTACCTGGACGGGACAATAGGTGTCCTCATCGGCCTCATCATCCTGGCCTATGGAGTTAAGTAAGTTAGATTGTGATCTAGATCTAGACATTTTAAATAGCCTTTCTTTTGTGAACCGTTTACTGTTGGGTTCGTTGACCTTAAAAACATGGTTGTCTGCTTCCACAGACTGCTCCTGGACATGGTCCCACGAATCCGGCAAACAAGGAACTATGAACGTTTTGAGTGAGAAACCCCAGGAGAAAGGAAGTCCGACTGATGGCCTGAATCTTCATTATAGATGATGTTACAGAGTGAGACTGGAGGAAAGTTTTAGGTGTTTTAATATTTAAATTTTATTATACTTGACTTCAGCAGAGTGGAACAGGGTATCGACATTAGGTACAGACTTGTGGGCCAAGAAATAAAAAGATTTTAGGTGATGAAGAACCAGGTGCTGCTCCCTCTTGTGGTCAGTTTACGACTTTAAGAGATTAAGCTGACTACTGAAGTCATAAATAAGCACATTAAAACTTAGTGGTGGAAGTGATGTTATATTTTGAAGAGTGAGTGATTTCCACACTGAAGCTGTGAACATTTTGTAATATTTAAATTGAATTTGATGTCGGTTTTATCTGGTCAGACTCTGACACAGCAGACATAGATGATGGAAGCATTGACGCAAACGGACCAATCACAGTTGTTTAAATACCTCAGTTTTACATCTTTGGCCTGTATATAAACATGTGTTGTGAAATGACGTGAGTCTCTGACTGTAGTCTAGGCGCAGCCGGTGAGACTGAAGCCATAGACCAATCCATAAAGACTGCAACCATCACTTCTGTTCCTAGTTGTGTGGAAGTAAAACGTCTTTCTTTAGCTGCCTTTTGTTTTAGTTTTGTCTCAGTTCTTTCAGCAGCTGGACCTGTAAACATGAAAACATAGATGTCATAACTTCTAAATCAAATCTGCAGAAGGTTATGTTTCTCTCTCTTACGTAAAAAAATAATTTATGGCTACAGTTAAAGTTAGGGTTAGGGTTTGTTCACTTTAACTGATTAATTGGTTTATGAAATGATACCCCCTATTTTTTTGAACGATGTTTTTAGATTTTATTTTTAGTTGCTTCTACACTGTCTTCTCCCCTATTGAATTGCACCTGGATAAAAATCAGATTGTATTCCTATTTACACTATATTACCAAAAGTATTGGCTCACCTGCCTTGACTCCTACTATGAACTGAAGTGCCATCCCATTCCTAACCCAGAGTTCAATATGATGTCAGTCCACCTTTTGCAGCTATTACAGCTTCAACTCTTCTGGGAAGACTGTCCACAAGGTTGAGGAGAGTGTTTATAGGAATTTTTGACCAAAAATTTTTCTTCCAAAAGCGCATTGGTGAGGTCACACACTGATGTTGGTCGAGAAGGCCTGGCTCTCAATCTCCGCTCTAATTCATCCCAAAGGTGTTCTATCGGGTTCAGGTCAGGACTCTGTGCAGGCCAGTCAAGTTCATCCACACCAGACTCTGTCATCCATGTCTTTATGGACCTTGCTTTGTGCACTGGTACACAGTCATGTTTGAAGAGGAAGGGCTCCAAAGTGTTCCCACAAGGTTGGGAGCATGGAATTGTCCAAAATGTTTTGGTA